AATAGCAATAGCAATAGCAATAGCAATAGCAATAGCAATAGCAATAGCAATAGCAATAGCAACAGCAATAGTAATAGCAATAGCAATAGCAGCAACCAGCAGCCTCTCTTTTGATGTTGTTGGCATAATGCTCTGGTACGCTGCAACGCGTGGAATGCAAGCGTGACGCCTTTTCCGCGCGAATGCGTTCGCGGATAAATCCATTGTCCTTGAAAAACGAGTCGGCGCGGCACGTAGTAAGACTGTGTTGGAAGCCGTTCGAAGAAAGGACTTCGGGATATTACTTAATGTCGTCGTAGGAGCGCTCGCCTCCTCGGCACTCGGAGATCGCCAGAGTCAGCAGACAGCTTGGCTCTGCTCCCACTCCTCTTCCCTAGTACCACTATATCTTTCTCTTTTTATTCTCTTCTCCCTCCTCCTACTTCTTCTTCTCTCCTTCTCTCTCTTTCTGTCTCTTTCTCGCCCTCGCCAACGCAACGATCCAAGCATGCTGCTACGTTAAATATCCCTTTCTCTCTTTCTCTCTTACTCTCTTACTCTCTTACTCTCTTTCTTTCTTTCTTTCTTTCTTTCTTTCTTTCTTTCTTTCTTTCTTTCCTCCTCCTACGTCATCGTTCAATCTTTTCTGTTCTATCTTCATTTTTTGGATACCTAATGAACCATTGTTTTTCAGCTCCTCCTCTTCCTCTTCTCTTCCTCTTGTTTTTTCTTCTTTTATATTAACCTTTTGCGAACGGTCAGTAATAACGAACGAACGAACGTCCGCCGTCTTGTTGGCGAATTTCGTATTCCATCGTTCCTCTCGTCTATCGAATATAGAAGAAAGTTATTATTCTTCTCGAATGTTTCTTTTTCACAGATAATAATAATAACAATAATAATAATAATTTGAAAAATAAAATTCCATTAGTATGAAAAATTTCATAGTTAAAGATATCAGAATTACGCGCATTCGTAAGTTGAAAATAAAAGATATTTCGCAATCTTATGGAAATCTTAACCTTGGTTTGAACGCGCGCGTACTACGAAAGAAACAACATTTGAGTTTTTTTCAACATGCGTTATAAAGATATATGTATATTGAAACGAATGATTCACATGTATAAGTGGAAGCGTCGCGATTCTTCTTAGTCATTCCTAAGCAATTTACGCGAAATTCTCTTCTGATGCGGAATATCAAAGAATATAAATGATGATAAAGAATTTTGTTTACCTCTTAATTAATAATTCTTCGTCCCAACATTGCTTCTATATTTAAATCCGACACTTTTAACGTTTAAATTGATAAAAACGAGGAACGCGCGAAATCGCGCTTTTAATCATTGAAATACAATCATCTTTCATTTCTTTTTTCGAAGAGATCTATGCGTATCCTGTAAACAAAAAAGAAAGGGATGTATTTTATTAATTTTCGTAACAAATAAAAAAGAAGAGAGAGCTTACCTGGACCACCCAAATCGTTTAGGAAGACGAACGTTTACGTGTGTAGTGGACCACCGCTCGAGAGACGACGCCATTTTAAGTGGCGGGAAATCAAAGAATTTAAACGAAACGCGATGATTAATAGTTGTTCAAAATCTTTTAAATGATCTTTAATTTTCTATTTGCTCTTTTTCTTCTTCTTCTTCTTCTTCTTCTTCTTCTTCTTCTTCTTCTTTATTAATGTCTGCCGATCTTCCACGTATTTTTTTATTTGTTCAACTTAGTCTTTCAACACAACACGTTGCATCCTTTATATATCTATAAATAGCAATTTGAATTGGAATGTTTCAGGAAAGGTAAAGTCAATGAATGACTTTGTCACGATGCGCATGCTGCTACTGATGAGATTGATGTTAGTGGCAGTAATCAGCATGCTGCTGATGTATACAAGCGCGAGTTCAAGTAATGAAGTACATCTGGGGGCCGTTCCAAAACCAAAACAATCCATTAATAAACTATACCCGAAAGGGCTAAATAAAGAAATTATTGCTGCTCTTGAGAGCAGACTTCTTGCCCTTTTGGGCATCAGCAAAAGGCCTACACCCACGGGTCCCGCTTACGTGCCGGAATCTCTGAAAAAGCTTTACTCACGTCAGAAGTCCATTCGCATGTCGGCCATCGCAAAGCCAGGCATTAATGCACGATCGGCGAACACAGTTCGTACCTTTTACCATGTCGGTTAGTATTATATCCTTTTTAAAGTTCTTTATCCGTTCGAGATATTTCAAAGGAGAAAGACGTTGAAAAGATATTTCTTATTGGTCAAAAGATAATACCGGTCGGGCAAGTGCTTTTTCGACGATGACTCATTTGCAGCTTTATGAGAGGATCCTTTTTTATGGGGAAAGTTGGTCGGTTGGTTTCTCACACTAAAAACCTTATGATGTATTCCAGAAATAGAAAATAGAGCGATTGGGTAGAGGATAGAGATCATTATGGCAGATGATAATAATAATAATCATCACCCGTCATTTCTTTCTTTCTTTCTTGTTCCAGAGAGTGAATTGGACAACAAATTTCGACATCCAAATAAATTTCGTCTGTTGTTCGACCTGCAGCACTTACCATTGAATGAAAAGTTACAAGCCGCTGAGTTAAGTTTATCGCGTGTCCCGATAGAAGAAGAAGAGGAAGAACATGAGGAAGAACATGATGACAAACCAGAAACAACAAAGTATGGAAGAATACTCGTTTACGATATCGTCCGTCCAGGGAAAAAAGGAAAAAGTTCTCCGATATTGAGATTGATCGATAGCAAGGTGATAAATTTGAGGAAAAATGCTACGGTGAATTTGGACGTTCATCCGGCGGTACAAAGGTGGATAAGCAATAACAAAACTAATTACGGTCTTCTAGTTGACGTTATAACTGGAACGACAAAATTGAATAAACGACATATTAGATTAAAGCGTAGCATAGATGAAGAAACGGAAACGTGGATGCTCAATCGTCCGACATTGTTAGCTTATATGGACGACGGTAAATTCAGGGTGACTTCTGGGAAAGAGATTTTGGATAGACGTGCGAGACGCGCAGCTTTAAGAAAGAACAGACGAAAGGATGGTCGAGAAAATTGTCGTCGACATCCGCTGTACGTAGACTTTGCCGACGTTGCTTGGAACGATTGGATTGTTGCTCCTCCCGGATACGACGCCTTCTATTGCCACGGAGATTGCCCGTTTCCTTTGGCGGACCATCTGAACTCGACTAATCACGCGATCGTACAAAACTTGGTTTACTCGACTAAACCTAGTATGGTTCCGAAAGCATGTTGCGTGCCTACGGCCTTGAGCTCGATCAGTATGCTCTATCTTGACGAGGAGAACAAGGTCGTCTTGAAGAATTATCAGGACATGGCGGTACTAGGTTGTGGTTGTCGTTAAATCTTCCATTCAAATTTTTAACAATCGATCGATCAAAATATTTTTCTTTCTATAAAGAATAATTGATCCGATAAATAGATCTTTACGAAGATCTATAATATCTGTGTTTGAAGAAGAAGAATTATTTTTAATTGCGACCCCTGAAAAACACAAAGAACATCATATTAGAAAGAGCGAGAGACTGTTCATTACAGAGAATTTGTCTTCTCTCTGTATGATAGATTTTTTTTTCTTCTCATTACATTCTCCTTAAACGATGAACAATGAACGTGTGAATATATTATGTATGTTTTTATGATGGTATGATTCTCCCGAGTGTGCATGATCCTTTCGCGTTTTTTTGATCAATAAAATATAAACCAATTGCATGTATTTTTATTGATAAAAACAAAACAAAAAAAGAAACTAAAAAGAAATAGAAAATTAATTTTTATAACGATTGAGGTATATAATATTTTTGGATTATATTTATGACCTATTTGGAATAATAATCAAAATTATAGATTGTAAGTGAGCATGCGACTAAAAGAAAAAGAACAAGAAAAATCGAGATCATTTTTCTTCTTCTCTATTTTAAATATTTTTTATACATATATATATAACATGCCGTCCTATATGTTTTACTTGGCCCCATTCCATTTATTTTAATTGTATTGTCAACGAATAATATGAAATATAATATAGCATAGATCACCGTGGAAAGGCAGGAAACGTTGAACGAGTGACGGCAGAATTAAATGATATAAATGTATATCCAATAGACAATGAGCATTGATTATCTAGATTTTTGCGAAGAAGAGATCTTGACAAAAGACAATATTATTTTATTATTTTTATTTTTTTATCTTAAACGTAATCTATATAATTATGTAATCCTTTAGTTCTGTAACCATGAGTTGATCCTTTCAAAGCAAACATGTTAAAAAAGCTAGGGAAAAGGTATCGGCATTAGCAATTGATGATAAATAATAATAATAACTAATAATAATAATAACTAATAATAATAAATAAAATAAATAATAACAATAATTTTATATATAATATTTACACGCAGAGCAAATGAAATGACAAATGTGTGCCATGACCATGTGTACAACGTACAAAATTCAAAGTAAAATAATAATAATATTAATAATAATATTAATAATAATATTAATAATAATAATTATATTAATAATAATGAGAATAGAATATTCATTTGCGTATATAGAACTGCGATAGAATGCACATACGTTATGCGATAGTAATGATTAAACAAACGAATCATCGATGATTTGCAATAAGCATATATTTAATTATGTAGGCACATATAGAAGAATTCCTGCCGCCTCAAATAAATTGTACCTGCCTACCTAAGGATTACTATTTATTATTTTTGCCAAAATAAGAATAAGAGGAGGAAGAAGACGAAGAGAATAAAAAAAAAAAAAGAAGAAGAGATACGTGTGTATATTTGTACAAAAAAGAAGTACGCGTTAACGATAAGTGTATTTGTAAAATGTGTAAAGTTATAGAGTAAAAAATGATAAATGATGAAGGAGAGAAAAAAAAGAACATGAGAGAGAAAGAGAATAAGTGTAAACATTGTAAATAATGCATTTGTAAAGTATCACGAGCATGTATATTCTTATATATCTTTATAATAATATGTTATTATAATATTTGACGTTATTTCGAAGTTGTACACAGAATACGGGTGTAAATACAGATTTTTCATCCAAGAATGCTAGACTAACTAGAAAATAGACGTTTAAAGAAGAAACTCATTACTATGATTGACAATTAATCATAGATTTCATCGTCCCTTTTAATACTTTGTGCCTCTTGCGAATAAGCGAAGAAAAAAATAAATAAAAAGGATGGATAGTACGTTCAAGATGGAAGATTGACAGAAGTCAAAATATTTTCCATTTAAGACCATAAACAACGTACATCATTTGTTAGTTACATCGCTTGTATGCGGCATTATCTATTAGGACCTTTTTATTTGCACTATTTTATTGGTCATACTTTTCTTCCTGCAGTTAAAATTAATTTTTAGATTTAAAAGTGCGTCACAATAATGTAACGTTCGAACAAATGCACTATTGTTTGTTTACTATTAAATTATATATAATAAAATATTACATATAAACTATAGATTGTTTTAAATAAATGTCGAATAATTAAAAATACGTATTTTACAATTTTTTAAGTATACCTTTAAATGGAAGTTTATGAATCATGGGTGATTTTTGCTCGTTGAAATATAAATGAAAATCCGCTCGAAAATGATCAAAGCTGTCCACGTGATTTTATTCCTTTTTAAGTCTTTGGTATGCACAAACTTGATGTTACAAGTTACCTAAACAAATTTTCAATAAAAATTATTTGCACATTTATAATGAATTATAAATCTAAATAATATACGTATGTTATGTCAAATGTTTAAATAAATGTATAATAATCCGAAATATTAATTATTAAAGGTATAAGTATAAATGAAAATGTCTAAGATGTTCACTCTTTGAGAACTTTGCAGCAACTGATGTGAAAAGAGCTAACTGTTTGTCACTCACGTGCTTACTTTTGTATCTATAATTGACCACTATCAAACTGAAATATTAAATTAAATTTAATTTAATTTAACATTAAAGTGACTTTTAATAACATAATATAATTATTCTATCGTAAATTATTAATGTTATTAATAAAAAAAAAATCATTTTAAAAAGTTATTTAAGAAATACGATTAAAAAATAAAAAATATTTGTACGAATATATAATGAATATATTATATTAAAGTAATATTTGTTCAATTTAACATTCTTTAGTATAAATAAATGTATATACAAATATAATTAACAAAGACAATACCTTTATTCTAATGTATAAAGAGACTATATTATATTTAAAATGAAGCTGACTTTTTCACAGTACTAAGAAATTTTGTATTTTCACGATAGATGGCGATACATCCGATGATAACAGAAACTACAATTATTATCAACAATAGATACAAATTTATTTACCATCCGTACATAACTATTGAAATTTGTCCTACGAGTAATCGAAATTATCGATAAGTGGGAACTGCATTACCGACACAAACTTTTTTCAAACACATGGCGCATTCTACAACTTTTTAAAATGCTTATAAAATACATAAAATTGGAAAATAATTGTGATTATATAAATGTAGATAATAATCCTTTATTTTAATCGCGATAAACATATTTGCTAAAGTATTTTTAATTTCACAATCGAGTTATACACGTAACGACGATAAATAATATTATTAAAAGGTCTTGCAAAAATTTTCTATAGATAATATTGCCGCGCAAGGTTTCTTTTTTCTTTTCCCCTTTCAAAAAAAGAATTTCTTTATCGCTGATCGTTGATAAAAGCGCAGATTACAGCATTAACGCCATAAAAGTTATTCAAGATCAAGCTAACGTATGGTTATTGTATTATCTTCGTTAGAAACTGCAAAGAACAAGATAGCAGATGGAAAAGTTAGAAAATATAATTTCGAATTGAAAAAAAAAAAAAAGATAGCTTGATAATATCCATGCTATTGATTATTACTGTTCAAACAAAAATGTCAATTCTCGTTTTTAATGTGAATCGTTAAATATAATTCTTTTGGAAAAATTCACACATATTTGATTTTCGTTCCGAGAGTCACGTTTCGTTCAAATGTTCGATAAAAGTTTGGAATATATGAACGATAAACAAAACAAATAAACAGAAAAACTTTTTACCCTGTGATACGTAAGGGTACTTCGTAAGGGTTGTTGCATGTCAACACAAATAAAAATATTAAAAAGAAATATTTATCAGTGCACTCGTAAAGCGCACACCTTGTTCGGGAGCACTTGTCAGCTAAGCCTGGACACTTCATCTCAAGGGTCTCTTGTCATTAGCAAATCATAAGGTGCAACCGATTGTCAAGTATTAAACAATTAGTAGTGATTTATCTTTCCCAAAGAACACTCCAATTGCATACAATATGAAATTGTATCAAATCCCCCCTTGATGATACGAAATAAATCGTGCAAATCATACTAATAAAATTACACTTCTATTTCAAGTACAAAAATTGTCTTTAGTAAAATAGAATAATACAAAAAAAAAACCGTTTGAAAAATAATAATATCATTTAAAGCTTGCTTTTTTTTTTAGAAAAAAAAATTAACAATTAATTTATCAACAATATTTTACAACTTTATCAGCGATAGAAGAGATTAGTTTATTAATACACTGATCGATTATTTTATCTCCTCTGAAATCTATCTCTATCAGTTTTGAAGAAGAAAAAAAAAAGTACACATTATTAGTTTTCTATATCTTGGAATCATTACACGTGTTAGATACCTACGATCATTTTTATTATTATTATTATTATTGTTACTATTATAACTATTATACGTGTACTTGAACTTTTCTAGCTTCATACGAAAAAAAAATTAAATTAAATTAAAATAAAATAAAATAAAAATAAATTATTAAAAAAGAAACATCAAATATTTAAAGTATACACGTAATAATATTTTTCTACTTATTGTAATGATTATAAATGTTTCGAATATAATCATCAGCCCAAATATCATTTTGAATTAATCATTAAGAACAATTTGAGAAACATAAACAATAACATTTATTGATTGTTGTAATTGTAAGTAAGAGACATATCGAGTCTGACGAAATAAAGACTTTGGTATTTGGGCCTCCTTCCTGTATTACGGCTGACGGTAGTCAAACTAATCTATATAGGGTGTTATCAAATAGATAAGGTTGCCAGAGTGCCTATCAGGAAGCCATATTTTTGATACAATATACAGGTGATCGATATATCGGTACATTAGTTCTCAGTAAGTGGAAACAACTAAACGGAATGGTTGCTTAGAAAGCATAATGATCGGATCTGAGTTATTTATTTCTGTGATAATAATAAGTGGCCATTTTTAATATAATCATATGTAAAAACATATACACAAACAGATAGACATACAGAGAGAGAGAGAGAGAGAGAGAGAGAGAGAGAGAGAGTTTAATTTAAAGTTTAAACTATCAATAATCATTATTATTGATTATTATTAAATTTTAATACTTACGAACAATTTCAATATCTACGAAAAATATTCGTTAATTTCAAAAGATAAAATT